GGTATTCATCCCTCCATCAGTGTTCAGACTGCATCATTCACTGACTGATAATATAAAATGAAATGTTTCTTGTATTTAACTGTTACCTGTCTTTTGTGTGCAGGCGGAGGACACTGTGGAAGATGTCTGCAAACAGATCATCATGCAGTGGACAGCATGTTGCAGCCGATCAGCAGCCAAAAGAGATGCTGATGATGGTATTTATGTTGCTACCAAAAGTAGACGGGCTACATCTTGGCAAACCTTGCAGAACCTGCAGTCATAAAATCAACGAAAATCAAGGCAGCATTCAATAACCTTGCAATGTTGTCACCCAAACAAAACATATATAGTCAAACAGTAAAAATCCATATATAATTCTAAGATGCATATATATAAATATAATTCATATAAAAGACAGGAGGGCCATCAACATGCCTTGACTAAACAGTAAAGACGGCTTGCTACTGAGTCTGTCTTCAATACCAGTTAAACATAGAGAGATTAGATTTTTGAGTTTTAATTTGTTTGCTTTGATTTTGAGCAAAGTGCATGAAGACACTTTTGTCTAGGGGGATTAATATTTCCCGAAAAATAAATAAAAAAACAAAACCAGTTCCTGAGACTGTAGAAAGTTTTTGTTTGTTTGTTTGTTTTCTGGTGTGATAAAGTGTTTATGCCACTAAGTAATTTCCACAGACTCTGTTTTGTTGGTGTTTACTGTGAACCTAACCATAGGGATGTGTGTACTCTCTAGAGCCTTGGTCTCAGATGGGTGCTTTCCTAACCCCTTCTATTAATGTACTTTTAATGGCAACAAAAAGCAATACTTTTATTACAGAAAAGGTACTAGATGTTACCATGGTGTATTTACATTTTGTTCTGCCATTCCTTTTCTGTAGCTGAGGTCCAGGCTATCGCCAGCATGATAGAAAAACAAGCTCAGATTGTGGTGAAACAGAAGGAGGTGACCAAGGAGTCGAAGAAGAGGAAAGAAGCCCTCCTTGCTCAGTATGCTAACGTAACAGATGAAGAGGAATATCCTTAATTCTGCTGGTTGTAATGACAGTTGAGCTAGTCGCACTTGCTAGAATGGTCCATGTGTTTCACTTAAATTACACATTTCTTTGACCGTGTAGTGAGACTGTCCATGAACATATTCTTAAGATAAAGCAAATATTTTGTTGGCTCATCCAGATAATGTCTGATGTTTCCTTGACAAAAACACTGAAGCTGAGGAAGAGGAGCAAACAAGTGGGAATAACCTCCCAGGAAATGATAAATGTATCCTTTCTAAAGCTGTTTATGATAAGAAGCTAGTTAAACTCACATGGATTTCAGTGTTACTTGTCGCAGTAGGTAGGGCTAATTCAACAGTTGCATAGTCCTGACAATATGATACATTGTTAAATCATTTATGCCTCCATAGTGGTAATAAATAGTAATTCTAAAGAAGCTAGACTACTGCTTTCATTCAGCTCTCCTTTACTGAAGGTGTCAGCCCTGTTTAAGAACACCAACGTGGAGGAGGTGCTACACAGACGAAAACAAATGCGGGAACAGGCTCGCGAAGACGCTCACAAGAAGAAGGAGATGGACAAGATGCAGCGGGAGAAGGACAAACTAGCCAAACAAGACAGAAAAGAAAAGGAGAAGAAGCGTACTCAGAAAAATGAACGCAAAAGATAAAACTAACAGAAAGGACACTCTGTGAAAAGGTTTTGTTACATGACAAAAACTGGAAAAAAAAAAAAGAAGTCATTGCCTCTTTATAGCTAAACCTCACCGGCACTTTTCAGTATTGTCTACATGATTTCATCAAACCATCCTTTTCATTTACTTCTACAATGTGTGAAGAAGAATGTCCTGGGTTATGTTCAAGTCCAGTCCTGATCTTTATTCCCATTGTATACTGATATGGAAAGATGTTTAGAAATAAAGCTGCAAATCTTTATATGATGATGACTGCGATTAGTCTTGTCATTAACAAAAAGTGCGTGTATGTTTAAGTTTTGAGGTACGTCTGAAATAATCAGTCACATTAAATGGATTGATCATGGTATTAAAAAAAAAAAACAGCAGAATCCTTGTAAATCACCTTAGTTGACAGTTTGCGACTGTATCCTTTGTGCCAGTGTCTTGTAGATGCTTTTCATTTCTACACATTTAAGTTAAGGTAAGTGTTTACATAAAATTTTGCTTTCATTATAATGCATATTTTCGTTTTATGGTCTACACACACTGTTGGAGAATAAAAGCAAAGGAGTGGTTGCTAAATTATACCTCATGTACAGTACTATGATTTCAATGTTTATAATGGCATTCAATCTTTTTAAATTAATAAAAAATTTCAGCAGTTTGCAGTGCTTTATTTTAAAGTTTTTCATTTACAGAACAAAAAACATGTCAACATTAAGATCACAGTAATGGAACAGCTAATATCCACTAAGCAGTCAGAGGAGTGCTGTTACAAAGCAAGGTTCAGTAATGGATGCATGCTTTGGTCCCTAGCTGACAAACTGTCCACTGATAAGAAACTGATTTGATTAATACTATCTGAAAATAATATGGTAAAAAGTCTAACTGACAGATTTAAACTGATAATGTGTTCAAAGTTCTGACTGAACTGCAGAAAAGGTTTTCTGTTTACAATACTAAGAACAAAAATTAAGTTTCAGAAACATTTCAGAGAACATTTTATAATTTAGTATGTTTTAAACTGCTTATAGAGAGCATTCTTCAAAGGCAAAACTGCATTCAGTGTTTTTTTTACTTGGCTATGTTGCATATCACTGATAAGAATGATGTTTCTTAATACTGTTAAGTTTCTATGTAGAAAATGTGATTAATACATTTAAAACACTGAACTTAAGTTTTCTGACGTCTGAGGATCATTGACAGTTTAAACTTGACCAAACTGCAGATAAAATAGAACTTTTTTCTGATTAAAACATATTAGGGTTACACAAGACAATCCGAAGCTGCAGAAATTAACTGGAACATTTCAGAAAACATTTCAACATTTAGCATGTTCACTGTAAACTGTCGCCTTTATGATTCAATTATTGCTTTGGGAATAACCAGAACTGTTACATTTCAATAAATAAGTAAAACACTAAAGAATTTGCTGAAATCTTCCACATAAATAGAGCCTTTAAATATGGTGATGAAACAAGATTCACGTTAATTTGGAGCTGACACTAATTAAATGAAGCTGACGATGCAGCTGGATAAATTACATTACACGCAATTCCTACACAACAAAGGGTAGCTACCTGAAGCTCCTTGGTGCTAAATGCAGCCATCGCCACACTTCAAGTTGTTCATCTCATATTCTGCAGTGATCACTGTTGCCTGCTAACTCATAACTTAAAAGAATATCCTTCAAATGGAGAGAAGCATCTCTCTCTGTGTGGGGCCTCAACATGATGACACTGCCTCCTCACAGGTTTTGGCAGTGTCATCTGAAGAGCACACCAAAGGGCTGTGCGGAGCTTCCTCGTGGTAGCAGCTAGGTCCTTCAGTGCAACCAACAACAGGGTGTCTATGAGACAGAAACAAGTTAGGACATGCAACATTTCAGAGGGAGGAGTATATATCACAATGCAAAATGAGTTACCTCTGTCTTCTGTGAAATGAGCTCTCTGCTCCTGGAGCTTGGGCATGTTGGCAATCTCCTCCTTGCGTCTTGCCTGGGTGATGCAAATGGCCATTTGATGCGTGTTCAGTGCTGTGTGGATGTTCATAGGGAGGGGGACGTTATGCAGACACTCCATCCTATCCAGAAGGCTTGCGACCTGCAACACACACGATTAAGCATTACACTTACCCCTCAGTCTGGATTTCTTAATGGGATATTCGACTTATGTTACTTAAAAGAAGGAGCAATATTTACTTTGTGTAGTACACAGTTTATCCTTTTTCAACAACTTCATTGAATATGCAAATACAAGTGATATTCATCAACACATTTAATGCAGAATATTAAGATGAAAGTACATTTTTACTGAAATCGTATAATTTACTTTCAAAAATACAAGGGTGGTTCATGTTAGTGGTATTTTTGCTAGTTTTGTTATGTAAAAAGAAACTCTGGGAGACCCTCTTCATGCAGACACATCCAAGGCCAGTATTCCAACACTGTACATTCTTAATGTGAGGAGGATACAGTGCTTATTAATGAGCCACCACACAAACATACAGCTAGCACGCAACTTCACAGCAATAGTTAAAATATCAGCAAGACACCCCAAAAGATTTTCATATTTCCATTCTTGGTGGTTTTAGTATCATTTTTTAACAAAGTCCAAACTAAGGAAAACTAAGGCACAGAGGCACAGCAGCTGTCTCTTTATACATTACCAACATGTGCAAATACCACTGCAATTACCACCTTTACATGACAAGGCTGCTGTGACAAAATTCACCTGTAGATGTCAGCATGGACACAATTATATCAACAGCCTCACCTTTGCTTGTTCTCTGATTTGTTTAACAATGAGATGGTCGACTCTGGTGGGATTTGGTAGAGCTTTAGGTAGGTTGGTGCTGGTCACTGAGGCAGTCCGTTTCCCAACAAATGTCTTGGTGAGAATGACCTCTGTCTAAAATAAAAAAAATGTGCAAAAACATGGAAACCTAACACTTCCACAACTACTTTTTTTAAGCCAATAGAGTGTCCAATAGTAAATGCTCATATAAAATGAAAATAAATTACACAACCAATATGTATAAATTGCACTGGTCATTTAAATGTAAATATAGTGATAAAATCTTTTGCTGATCATGATTAGACTGTCTTCTCTTTTCACATTTATGATTTAAGTTCATTCATCAAACCACTAAATAGAAGGTACAAAGATATTCAAAACTGCAGCAAGTCACCAGCAAACATGACACAACAGTTTCACTTAAGCTAATTTTGAATATATGCCAGTATTGATCATACTTTTTCTTCAACCTTAATGACAACTGTATAGTGCATTCTACACTGAAAAGTGGAAGACCTAAATAGCTGCATATTAATAAAATAATGTGTGATCTTTTTGATAACACATGGCTGGAAGTAACTCACTCTATTTAGCCATTAAAAACCTAACTGGCTGTGATACCAATCTTGAAAGTCACCCCAGACATCCTAAGTAGACACAAAATCATATTTTGAAAACATACCCTCTTCCTCTCCTTCTCCAAGCACCTCCACTGTTCATAACACTCGTCCAGGAAGAGGTAGAGCTGGATCACAGGTCCTCCTTGTTTCATCAAAACTGAACTGATGACTGGTGCCATGCCATGATAAGTATTCTTTCCTCTGTGGGTCATCATGTTGCTGACACAGGAGCCGAAAGCTGCAGACTCACTGGCAAACATCATATCACCCACATCTATGGCAGGAGCACTGCCTCCATAAGGCAGTGTGGCTCTAGAGTTGAAGTTACAGTTTATGGGAATGCTGGACTGCCTTCTGGGGTCATTTACAGGAGAGATGAGAGGCATGAACTGCTGTGTATTCCCTGCACGCTGCATGCTGTTTTCTCCATCAAACCTCTGAGACTCCATGCTTCCCTGGAGGTCAAAGTATGGGTTTTGTGACAGAGCCTGTTTCTTGTCTCTCTCTCTCATGTAAGTGTTGGTTAGGGGTCTTGGAGAGAAGCTTTCTCCCAAAACGCCAGGCACATACATCATCTTTTCTTTCTGCGTCTGTGACCTGATCTTGTTCAGTATCTGGCCCTGCCGGTTGTGATGTTTTGAATAGTGGTTCATGCTCACATTAATGTTCCCTCTGTGTATGGTCACACTGTTTTGGTGTTGGTTTGGGAAGTTTAAAGATGTAGAGAATGGCTTTGGTTGCTGGAAGTGTTCTCTGTTTTGTGGGCTGAAACTAGGCAGATCTTGATAGGTGTCACTTTTAAATGCTTGTTTCCTCAGTCCTCCATTTCTTTGCACTATCCCAAATTCTTCAACCAGCTGTTTTTGGGTCTGGATTGCAGGAGTACTTTGTGCTGACATTACAGGACTGGTGACTTTCCATTGTTCAACCATGTTGTCCTCATGGTGCATGGCCAGTCCCTGCTTGTGCATATTTGGAAAGTCTCCACGAGAAAAGCTGTCCTGCTCACCAGCCATGAACAACTGAAAACTGCTGACCAGTTGGTTATTGTCTTGCTGCACATACTGCTCAGGACTGCTGGGCTTTGTGCTGTTCTGGATGTAGTGGTCTTCATAGTAAGGATCAAAGCAGGGGCTGTTCATTTCGCTTTTCTGTCTAAAGGCATTGTTGAGGTCAGGGAAATTAATCATAGGTGGACTGTTTCCTCTGTCTCTATCAGCTGACATGGTGTCATATTTGCTTTGTTGTATCTGTGACAGGTATGCATTTCCTTTGTTGGGCACTGGTAGACCTGGTGGCAGTTTCTGAGGATGGAGGGTGTAATTGTCCCTGTCTCCCTTAGGCAAATTAAAAAGCCAATGTTGATTGGAAGAGAGGCCATTGGACTGCTGACAAAACTCTTCAACATCTTTAAACACTGATTTTCTCTGTGCTTTGCCGAAAGCCTCACAGGACATATAGTTTGGAGGAAAGGTAGGGTTTTGCTGCATTTTAGCCTCTGATTGAAAATACTGTAGCAGATCTTCTCTTAGTGTCTTTGGAGACCAGACAGGATTACATGTAGGTAGGCTCCTAAAAATAATTGAGGACTTCCTTTAACAAAACATGGATAAAAACTTCAAACATCATCCATTTGTGGTTGTTCAACACTGTTGTCAAAGCCATAAATCATGCAATTCATACTATAATATGCAGCTCCGCCTAAAATGAAAAAACTATAAACCCTGACATACCCTTCACTGTAATAGTTGTCCTGTGAATCTGCTTCATCCAAAATATTTGACACTAGACCCTGCAGATCAGTCTCTCCATCACAATCAGTATTATCAGTGGGTTTCCTTCAAGAAAAAGAAAACACATCATCAGAACTGCACACTAGAGTTTCCTTTTTTCTTTGAAAACATAAATAAACAGTTTTTCTACCAACTCTATTAATTTTTCTACTGCAATAAGATACTCAGTGTATTTAGTACCTCTAACTTACACTTAACTACACATAAGATAGTTACAGATCCTACAGTTATAGATAAAATATAGTTATAGTTAAAATGGAATACCTGCTTTTAATGCTGCTCTGGGCATATTTGACAAGTTCACAGGGATCATCATGAGCATTATGAGACCAGGGCACGTAGGATGTTGTGTCCTGTTCCTGCAGTGACCCGCTGGGGATGGAAACAAAGGGCAGTGCCATGCTTTCGTTGTTTCCACCACCTATATTTACACTATCCTTAAAGAAAGAAGCAAAAGTTAATCAATCTAATCTATTACTAATGTTACTACTGTATTTTTCTTTATCACGCAAGCAATGTAAATTACAAGAATTGAGACAACTGAAGGTGCCACAGAGGCATCAAATGATATAATAGTGCTGAGACAGACTCTATCTAAAACATAAATAAATAAATAATTAGTTAATTAATTAATCAGCAGCTATTTGCTTTGACTTGACTTTGATTTTGATAATAAATTAATTTATAAGAATTTACCAAAGAGAATAAGAATTTAGTAGAATGCCATTTAACTAAGGAAGGGCAATGTTAATGTAAATGCACAATTTATTCACTTTGACAATGGTCATGACGCAAAGTCCATAAAAAGAATTAAACAGCCTCCTGTATGTGTAATCCACCCTCACTTGTAGTTTATACAAGTATGTCTCAGTCAGAAACAAATACGCTAAACAAAACAAAATGTAAGGGGTGTTACTGCCTAGGTCAGAAAAAAAAATGTTCCAAGACCCTTTGTAAGGCTAAATGAATTTGAAGGCCTCTCTGACGTCTGCATGTAGCCTATTCCAGCACCATCTTATTGGGTGGATTAACGATAAACCGAAAAACGTCATCCTACCTGACGATGATTTGTGAGAAAGAGATGATTTACAAATGAGCCCTGGTGCCCATTAAATGCCATTATGAACTCCTTTGAGCTTAACCAGATTCTTTACTCCATTGCTGGTCTGGCGAAAAAACTGAAAAACAGATACCCTTTTATATAACTTCACCTGATATAACGTAGATTTTATGGCGCATATAACACTATGTTGGTAACTATCACCCTAACATTATGTTGCTATTTTTGAGAAAGCAAATCAATCGGCTAGCTAACTTTTCCGTTAACTTAGTTGATTAAGATAGCAAGCTGTCGAAGTTGCTTGGCTAAGCTAGCTGAAGTTAAACTCTCACCGTTGGTAAAACTCCTAGTCTGCCTCGTAAAAATTCGACTAATTTTGCCTATGCGGACCAAAATATATGAAACAAGTCTGCCTCGTAAATTCGACTAACTTTGCCTATGCGGACCAAAATATATGAATAAAATGTGTCTGTTAAGCAAAAGACTTAGCCACCTACCTTAAATAAAGTAAATTAATGATTTTTTTCTTTTCTTGTCAAGGTCAATTCACTAACCTTAACTGTTCTATGCCCCCTCTATTCTCCACCCCACTACGGTTCGATAGAGCTCGCGACCCGAGCGAACATTAGCCAATGAGCATCAAGCAGACCATCCGAGGGCTTAGCAACATCTGATGTCACACACATATCTAGGCCATGGTGGACCAGCATTATGGTACAATTATCAAACACAGTTATCACATTATGACACAATTATTATCCTGTCATAGTGTCCACCTGAAGTGTATCCAGACATAGTAGGAAATTCAAGGAGACTCAACCTGTTTAAACACACACCTATTGGAAAGGAGGTGCAGGGCGCCTGGAAATTCATTTATAAAGTTGATTGATTACCGTAGAACCTATTATTCACGATGTATTAACATTTATAGATGACTAACTTTTGAACTTTTGCTGATGGCTTATTTCAAATTGTGAAACCTATTATTACTAACATAGCCTACTAACTTGTTTTTGCATGGTCTATACAGATCATTTTAACGCCATACTGACTTTCCGAAGTTTAAACGAAGTAACCAAAGTTCAGATCAAACTAAGTGACTGATTGATCCACATTTTAAGGTGGCTCATAAACATGAAATGAACACTGAAGTACACACATTCGGTGAAACGTCTATCGTATCCTCCTCCCATAGACATATACTGTATCTTCAAAAGGGAACTTGTAAGTCTGGTCGGGACACGCAATCAGCTGAGGTCAATAAAATGTGCAAAAATATGACCAACATACAGACAACATTGCTTTCAAAATAAAAGCAAACACTTTGCCAAATATAATTGACTTTTATTATAGTTATTTAATTTCGTTCACACCTAATAAATGTTATAGTGGTGCTGGTTTGTTTATTTGCCCTGTATTGTATTATATTAATGCAGTGTAGTCTGGCTGGACGAATGCAATTGATATAATGCAAATATATTATTATTAGTAGTAGTAGATCTAGTAGTACAGGCTATTATTATTAATAATAATGTTGTTATTGTATCAATAATAACCACATTTTGCATTAAACTGTGTTAACCATAGTCGGTTAGCATGCAGCTGGTTTTTTTGAGCAAACAAAGATGCTGGAACACAGTGGTGCGCCCTCTCTGTCATGGGCCCAACTTAACAAAACACTTAAACAGAGGGTGCCCATGATGACCCTGTAGACTTGTCTGCAGGCTAACACAAATTTAGTTTGCACTTTAGTCGATAAGATAGGAAAAAAATAGTCAAGCGTTTTAAACAATGAATCATGAACCTGACTCTTAGATAAAGTTGCCTAACAAGCAAGGTGGGTCAGCCACAGCTGAACCTGAAATACAATACAAGCAAATACAATGCAAATATAAGGCCAGGGCATATTGCCAAGTAGGCCTATCTGGTTTTTGCTTACATGCGGATAGGATTCAAGAACTCTTTAGAAGTGAATTTGGTCTGATATAACTGCAACTACTTGTAGGACTAGTGGAGGGATAATGCCTGAACTATGGGGGTCAAAAGAGATAATAGGTCAAAACTTCATGAATACTGGCTCCCATAAGAATTCTCACCAACCTTTGGCACATTTAAATATGTTTTAACCATCATACTCTAGATGGCAACAGCTGTATTAGATGTTTATTTGATTAAATACGCGTGCTATGCTGGGAGGCAACGTTGACATAACATTCTACAATTAACTGAAATATGATTTTAATTTGAAAGTCGTTACCGGAAGTGTTTTTTCTTATTGTGGTTGCCTTGACCAAGCTGAGGGACTCGGAGTTGTGGAGAAGAAAAAAGTCACCCAGCGGTGTTTTAAGCAGATACCAAGCACAAAGAGCGCAGCGCTAGGGTCTTCACCATCAGACCTCTTCCGTTTACCTCGCTGATGAACTTTTGGCTGAACTGATGATAGAAACTAAATCACTTTACAGTAAGTTAATCGGGATAAGTTGTTGTTTGAACTTAGGAATATGGCTTTTTCTAACACCTGGGCTGTCGCACTCCTGCTGCCTCTGCTGATATCAGCCCAGTATAAGGGGGACAACGGAATAGTCGTCCCGGAGCATGGATTTTGTCAGCCGATTTCAATACCTCTGTGCACGGACATAGCCTATAACCAAACCATCATGCCCAATTTAGTAGGCCATTACAACCAGGAGGACGCAGGGCTCGAGGTGCACCAGTTTTACCCTCTTGTAAAGGTGCAGTGCTCGCCGGAGTTGAAATTCTTCCTGTGCTCCATGTATGCGCCTGTATGCACAGTGCTGGACACGGCCATTCCTCCCTGCAGGTCAATCTGCGAGAGAGCCAAGCAGGGCTGCGAGGCTCTCATGAACAAGTTTGGCTTTCAGTGGCCGGACCGACTACGTTGTGAGAATTTCCCTGTGATGGGAAACGGACAGATGTGTGTGGGACAAAACGACTCGTCCTCGGTCACCGTGCCACCCATCGTGCCTGTCCCGAGTACGCAGGACCGCCCCGCGTTCCCCACGCATGACAGGCCTTTCCATTGCCCGTCTGTTCTCAAAGTCCCACCGTATTTGAATTATAGGTTTTTAGAGGAGAAGGATTGTGCAGCTCCCTGTGAGCCATCAAGGAGCGGTGGGTACATGTTTTTCACTGATAAAGAGATTCATTTCTCCCGCATTTGGATTTTGGTTTGGTCTGTGCTTTGTTGTGCATCTACCTTATTTACAGTAACAACCTATTTAATTGACATGCAACGCTTCAGATACCCTGAGCGACCCATCATCTTTCTGTCTGGCTGCTACACTATGGTCTCCATAGCTTACATAGCTGGCTACTTCCTGGGGGACAAGGTGGCCTGCAATGAGAGCTTTAGCCCTGACGCATATAAAACCATTGTCCAAGGCACCAAAAAGGAGGGCTGCACCATCCTCTTCATGATGCTCTATTTCTTCAGCATGGCCAGTTCCATCTGGTGGGTCATCCTATCTCTCACATGGTTCCTGGCAGCAGGTATGAAGTGGGGCCACGAGGCTATTGAGGCCAGCTCTCAGTATTTTCACCTGGCAGCTTGGGCAGTGCCAGCCGTCAAGACCATCAGCATCCTGGCCATTGGACAGATTGAAGGTGATATGCTCAGTGGTGTCTGCTTTGTCAGTCTCAGCAATCTGGACCCTCTACGAGGCTTTGTGTTGGCCCCTCTCTTCATTTATCTCTTCATCGGGACTTCTTTCTTGCTGGCCGGCTTTGTGTCACTGTTCAGAATCCGCACCATCATGAAACACGATGGCACCAAGACAGAGAAGCTGGAGCGGCTTATGGTGCGGATCGGCGTTTTCAGCGTGCTTTACACTGTCCCTGCCACCATTGTTATTGCCTGCTTCTTCTATGAGCAGGCCTTCCGCCCCCACTGGGAGCGCAGCTGGGTCAGCCATAACTGCAGGGCCCTGGCCATCCCCTGCCCTATGCCAACCGGGCCCCGCATGACCCCAGACTTCACTGTCTACATGATCAAGTACCTGATGACACTAATAGTGGGCATCACCTCTGGTTTCTGGATTTGGTCCGGAAAGACTCTACATTCCTGGCATAAATTCTACACAAGGCTGACAAATGCCAAACACGGAGAGACCACTGTGTAGAGTAAAGGGACAACTTTAAGTTGCTGGGAGCAATTTGTGTATTATTATCTGTTTGACATGTAACAGGTAAGTAGCACACGGTGTAGCTATTAGTTAATACAGCATTTGTATTCACCTCAGCTTTATAGCCACACATGCATGCCAAACTGAGGATTAGGGTTTGACAGAAGGACAAGCTGGATAAACAAGGAATGAACCTGACTGTCTGAACAAATAAGAAGCATGGCTATGGATGCCATGTGCGGCAGCGCTCTCCTCCCCCTCCCTGGCTCTTTTCTCAAAGCGAACATAAACTCAAGGGGTGTGATGATCCAGCAGCTGAGAAGCACAACGAGCAGTGGAAGAAAAACGTATCTCCAAACATTTCATGTGTAATGAAATGAAACTAAATAATATTTGTAAAACATCAAAATATATATTTGTATTTAACAAAAGTGAAAACCTTTCATTATTTGTCTGTGTACCTGCTTTACTTTTCACTATATGACCAATAGCCTATAGATCGCGCCTATAGCTGGTTATAAATAATGTTTTTCTAATTAATTAAAAATGAGCTTTCTTAGTTTAGCCTACTGTATTGTCATTTTTTTACCCAATCGTGTTGCCACATCGCATATTAACAAATAACTACATCAAATGCTTGATTTGAACAATCCTTTAGTCTCCTTAATAAATGGACAGTCATGTTGTTTTCATAAGGGCCTGTGGGTTTTGTCACCTGAACATCTGTTGCCTCAGATTGACAAGTAGCAGTAAAAGGTGAAATCTGCTTTTTACACAGGACCATAGCCTTCTGGGAAATGCTGTCATTTGAACACACCTCTCCTAATTTATCACCCACTCTGTGTATATTCTGAAAGCTTTGTGGTGCATGTGTGAGAAAGTGGTGCCAACCTGTAAGAATGTGGAGGAGGACTTCTCACTACCATCGCCTGCAAAGTGTGAAAAAAAACAAATAACCTTTTTGTCTGTTGTTAGAGAGGGCTCAGTTAAATCAACAGGAATCATCTGGCAAGAGATGTCTGTGTTGTTACACAGGTGTGAAAATGTTTCTGCCTGCCTGTTTGATGAAGGAAAAACAAGAGTGTCAGGCTTTGCTGCGGCGTTAGTTGTCTGAAGTCACTGTGCTCTGTGCCAAGTTGGAATCCCCCAAGCCATGCATGGCTGAAACTGAACCTTCTCTGCGCTGATGTCATGAAGTAGATGGGTGTGTTGGAGAAAGCTGATCTTCTTGCCTCAGAGCAGAGTCTCCGGGCTAGAAGCAAAGATTTGAGAGGTGCACTCACACACTATGCCTTCACATTGTTATGCAAAGGCTTAGACAGGGCTATGATTAGGCAGTACCCCTACGGGTTACAGTGTAATTACTGATATGAGCCCTGCGTCACAGCCTTTCTATCAATGGAGTCTAGGCTATATCCCATGACCTGTTGGACAAGTTCATGTTTGCCTTTCTTGTATCCTTATCAGGGGTTAAAAAAAGATGGGATGTAATAACAGACAAGTAAGAGTGATTAAAGATAGGAGGGAGAAACCATAAATCTACCTGTGCCTCTTGTATTCTGACATCTTGCACCCTCCCTCCCTCTCTCCACACAGATGAATGGGGGAATATGAGTGAGTCAGTGCAGCAGCGCTGGGTCTTTGCCTAGTGACAGACAGTCTCCTGTGTGCTGCTCACTTCAAAGCGCCGCTGAAACCTGACTAGTTCCTTGTAAACAGTGCCGCCTGGCCCGAAGGCCCACTTCCTGAGCTTAACTCAACTTAATGGCTGGCTTGTTTGGCTTTGCACTGAAGCAGAGAAACGAATGAGTAGTGAGAGAATGAAGGAAAGCAGCATGTGGGTGGGGTGCGGGTGGTAAGAAGAGGAAGATTGTTTTAGGGTTTAGTGGAGGAGGGGTTTGGAAAGTATAATGGAAAATTGAGTATTGTTTGGTTGCTTTTGTCTTTCTTCAGGGGAAAACTAAAGAAAGAAAATATAGGAGAATCCAAATGAGAAACGACATGACTGATTCTGTGAATATTTCAGCTAAACTACGTCAGAACTAAATGGAATCAGATGCTCTGCATTTAACTTGTAACAAGAAGAAAAAGCTTTTCTGAAAGTAATTTTTTTCTCAGCTAATCTTGATGTGTATGTTGTATGACTTTACTTGGTGGACTTTCTTTAAACATGCGGAAAATAGTTTGATTTGAGGTTTATAATTAAAACACTGCGACAAATCTACTGTACCAAACCGTTCATGATAATTGCACAAGTGATTTATAGCCACTTTTCTGCTTAATGTTGGTGCCCCGTTTTTCAGCGGCAGCCATCTCCCACATTGTTGATCTCAGATGTTAAGTCTTGCATATAGAGGATTCCTGCTTGCTTGAGGGCAAGAAGGGACAAGCCAAGGATTGGGGGTAAGACAGGAAGAATGCTTTTCAAGCTGACATTATGTCGTTCTTATTGGAAAAAGGCCTTGGCATGTTAGAAAAGAATCCTGTTAATCTCAAGCACCAGTGTTCTATTACTCTGGCACCATTGTTCAGGTTTATGTCAATTTCTCATGACCTTCCTACAGCAGAAGAATCATAAGAGGCCTACAGAAAGGGTTAAAACTAGACAAAGGATTTAGGAAAAGTGAAAATGAGGGGGAAGAAAAAACTACCCAGACGTGTAGTAAACCTGTTTCAAATCAAACATTGGCACATGCTCAAGTGGAACTCATGCGCTGAAGGCTAACACTAGATTAGTTGCCGTATTCTAACCATAGGCGAGCAGCTGAGATTTTCCAGAACACACGCTATATCTATTTGTCTTTCTCTCCCTTGAAATCTCCACAGGAAGTTCAATATGTTATTTCTCTTCCTGTCATTGCTTTCAGAGGTGGCCATTGTGAGTGGGATGCAGCGTAACAACTTGGCAGGAGATTGGAAGTTTAAATGTGCATTTCAATTTCTGACTTTGATTCAGGGCTTCCAGCCACACTCACCATGACGGCACGTCCTGCTTTTCTCCATTTATCTTGTGTCCACTAAAATACATTTTTTTAACTTGACATCCACCTTATTCTTGTTAAATTCAAAGCCATATGTTTCCACTTTGAAATATATAATAAAAACCTGAAAACTTTCAACTGGTTTATTTAAACATCATAACACATAAAACTGTTGTTCCTTGGAAACCGTTTGTCTGGAATTTTATTGCTCATAGGTGCACCAGCCGCTCTAGGTTGACTTTGACAAAAAACAAATAGACACATATAACTGAAACATACTGAATCTGCAATGTTTACTCCCCTGTCATTCAGTGTGAGGGTGTATATCAGGGCTGAAAGTGAGGGAGTGCCCCAGAGCCTTTCCCGCTGCTGAGCAGAGAGGTGCCAACAGCTGTGTGACAGATATTCTGAGCCGGCAGCACGCCTGGGATAATAATGGGCTTGATTGGGAGGAGTGTGTGTGGAGCAGAGGGAATGGCTGTGCATCCAGACACCTCAGTGTGTACACAGGCATGCCATTCAGACATCTTCAGGGTGATGTGTAAATAATAACACAAAGTGGGATTGTTTTCAAACGTATTACAATTGAATGTATTTATTGAATTTTGACAATTTATTGATGCATTTGCAATCTAGTAGGTTGCAAATTTTGCTCCAGGGTAATATCATCCAAACCTCCTGCATTAGAATGCGTCTCTGTAGAAAGCTACAGTGATGGATCACCATTTATGTATGTGAATACAAAGCATTCATTTTGATCACGTTCATATATCTGGCATTCAAATTATAATATATTGTTGTTGGTCGTGTATGTACTTTTACAACTAACTAATATCAGTAGGTATAATGGCACCTTTGTTGACCTCTGTTTTGAAACTGATGGACTTGTAGCGTGGGAAATCATTTCTCTACAGTGTTATTCTGAAATACCAATAGTAATTCTAAGTTGTTAGATGTGATTTTCATCCTTCTGTGATTGAAATAGTGGTAGAATGGGCCCAAAGGGAGTTTTGTTCCTGTGCAGCCAAGGCTGCAAACTGCGTTACTCAACATCTGTGGAAGCAATCACTGAACTTGTAATTGATAAGTCAATCAACCCCCTGCAGATACATAACAAGGCAGTAAAATCATTCTTATTAGCTCACTTTAAGCACCTGTATTGCCAGAAACACAATAGGTAGTAATGCTCTAATCCAGTCTCTTACTCTCCCTTGAGCCCCAGTATGGCCTCAGGCTTTGATGGTGACTTACTGAACCGGCTCCTCTCTGGCGAGCGCTGGCCTCGCTGTTTTAATGAAGGCCCTCTTAACTGCTCTTTTGAGGAATTTACAGCCCTGTCCCATTTCAGCCCAGGAGAGGGAAGGCAGGGAGGGAAGCACACTGCAGCCTTGTCCCAACAGAGCCAGCAGTGGAAATGTACTGCTTCAGGCAAGGTGGCAGCAGAGCTCCCGTGTGAGCATGTGCGTGTGTGCCCATCTGTCTTTCTCTATCTGTGTGTATGTGTTCACTCAGCTGTACAGTATGTGCTTCAGAGCTTGTGTTTATGTGCGTGACTCTAAGTGAATTAGTAGTGGTTAAAGGAGGGCTCCACTTCTGTAGGTTCTCTCTGTAATTTCACTCTCTGCAAGTGTAATCACTTCCATGTGGGCCCTCACCAACAACAGAGTGGTGGAAGGGCCTCATTGCAAAGGTGGGAGTTAAACACATAGATGCATGCAGGCTCTCATGGAAAATGCCTTTTCACAACACTACTACTGCAGACTGCAAGAATTTTTACATTTGGTGAGATTATTAAACATTCTTTCTCATGTAGAGTGTTACTTTAAACCAGTGTGATGCATTTTTAAAGTTCAGAGTTAACACATTTTAAAATAAAACATACTTTACCTGTTTTGCTAATTCCCTAACGAACTACATCTCAGACCCTCATACAACTCAGGTAAAATTTTATTAATAAAAACTCTCAATCTGTGAAACACCAGGGGGTCGAGATGTCTAATTTATGTTAATTAGTAATTTCCTTTAGAGACATTCAGATGCTTTGTGGTTTTCCTTTGCATCCTGTTTTATTTATTTATTTTTGTGTTGCTCCCACGACACATGTTGACTTGTCAGCTCGAACGCCTCTGGGCCAGACAGGCACGGCAAATGTGTGAAACCAGCAGAGCGAAAAACAACAGGACCTTTTGCACAAGAAGTTCAGCGCTGAAAGACACCTCCATAGAATTCATTTGCTAGTTCAGTCAAGGGGAAGAGAAATTGTAAGGTACAAGAAGCCCCGATATCGACCATGTACTGTATGTCCAAAGCAATTAAGTGTAAAGACATGATCTGTGTAATGCGAGGTGACCTGAGACTGAATTTTAAAATTACTACTTACTGAGTTGTGGATTTAATGGTGTACTCAGTGTTTCAAACATGTCATTCAAAGATCTGGTTACAGTAAATGTGTAAACATAATGATAACATAATAGGGTAAGACTCGGGAGTGTAGGCAGAGGTAGAGTTAGGATGAGGGTGGGGTCACTGAGTCAAAGGAAACCCATATCTATGAGGAGACAGACTTCACTTTTCCTTGAATCTACTTCCCAGTCTTGGGATATAATGCTAACCACAGTAACAGATAATGCTGATATTGTTACGGTGAACAACACCCCCTGCTGTTTCACCACATATACTGCTACAGTACATACTCTTGTGAACACACATAGGAACCGTACAAATGAACAGGATGGCCACCAAGCAATAACATAAGCGCTTGTTTAATATTGCGTTACAGTAGTTGGGACCGTACATTGTTCTATATATGAATGCTGGAGGAGATTTAGTTTGACAAACTTGAATAAACACATGCAGGTTTGTTGTGAGAACAGTAAGTGGACCACAGAGCAGCTTTTGCTTCTCAGTACTAAAGCCAGATGAAACTTAAGACTGTTTGTCCTGCAAGCACTGAGGCCATCAATTCAGCAGAGAAGTCGGTTGTCACTGGTCAGCTAAGGTGCAACTTTTTATCGCAGGTACCTGAATATGTAATGAGGCACCAACACAAAGGATGATCTTTAGTGAGTTTAGAATGAATTCAGATGTTGTTTGATAACACTTTTACAATGCAGAACATTACTGCATTTCCAGAGTAGAGAGTTTATGGTGTTAGTAGGATGATTTTAGACAGTTCCACAAGCAGAGAAGCAAGCTACTGTGTTCAAGCACACAGTTGGCCACTAGGTAGAGCTGCTGCCTTTATTCTTAGTAATGCTACAGGACTGACTTCTGCCAACAGCAACAGTTGAACATGCAGTTTTAGACCGTTATTGTGAAGTGCATATTAGGATGCCTTATTTAAGCCTTGGACTGTTTTTCCAACAAAATGAGCGAGCACATTTTTGCCACCAACATCTCACTGCAAAATCCAGGCTCATGTTCACTCACACAGAATCACAAACTCAGTTGCAATTTTGAAGCACCACAGAGATTACAAGCCAAATCCAGTCTTCACTCTGCTGCGATTATCTTTAGTCTACATCGATCCTCTAACCCTCAGACTGAGGAGTCATTGTGGATAGCTTTTATTCTACATCGATCAGACGGGCAGGCTCAGACTGAGGAGTCATTGTGGATAGCTGTGGAAAACAGGGCACTTTGTGTTTTATCACAGCATCATTCAAGGACAGACAGCAGACCAAACATGCTGGTGAAAGCTGCAGCACGTATAGAGGGGAGGGAAGTTAATGTGTCAGTCGGTATGTCTTCCTCCTGCTCTAGACTCTGTTGTGTGTAGTAAGTGGCCCTGTGCCTCAATTATGCTCCTACAGCCAAAAGGTTCTGTGAGAGAAATGTAGCATTATCAGTCTGTTTCCTCAGCAGCTCTAAAGCCAGACTTCCTGCAGTTTGTTTTCTGTCGCATCTTATTTGAAACTTCAAGTCAGACCTTATTTAGTGTGTCTATCATAATAGTGGTGTTTTGTTTTCTACTGTTGTCACAATAATTATCACAGTAAATATTATCTTAATGTGGAGGGCCCAAAAATATAATGACAGTCAGATTGGAGCTCTTAATGAAATCAGTGTCATCCAATATGTGCTATAGCAGTTTCCTGAGTACATTTGGCATAAAGTACCATGATTATTTGACAGATTATCTGGTGGATTCATCAGTCAGTTCTGCCTTTGTGTGCTGGAGCCCGTGGCTATGTGGCATTCCCAAACAAGCCATAGAGGATGTTTGTCTCCAGCATATGCAACTTGAGGAAGGAAAAGGGTATAGGCATAGACAGGCTCTCCTATCTGAAGGAGTGAAAGAACAGTGTTTAGCATAGATGGAGCTGGACTACTTTCACAGCAACACTTACTGAACTATGCTTTAGAGCCTCAGCTATTTTAGACCAGTGATGAACTTCACAAAATTGACCCATAGACACGCAACTGCAAATCTACAATATGAGAAAGTCCTAACAGAAGTGTCTCTCTGTGTGTACCCTTTTGTTTGATTTGTAGATGCCTTCTCAGAAACTAAAACAAGACTCTCACAGTGCTATTCTGTGTGATCACTGGTGTGGAATTTGGGAAGCTGACAGGAGTGGAATGAAAAAAGATGTTAATGACCTCGTTGGACTTCTGTTTGTGTTCATTGACATTCAGGACTTTTAATTCAATTTACTCCACTCAATAACTCTGATATGCCATGATTTAGCCATGCTGATCATTGGAATATAGTGCATCCCATAATAAACAATGCAGAGTGTGTGAAGTTACACTACTGCTATTTCTTCCCTCACGAGTGCATCCCATAATAAACTATGCAGAGTGTGTGAAGTTACACTACTGTTCTGTCAGATTTATCAGCTGAACAACATATGTTCATTGTAGAGAACAACAGTGGGCCCCTTGTGAGGCATCTCTGGCCCACGCAATGCACTTACACTCAGCTGACATACCGCAAATGACGGCCCTTTGGTGGCCCAGACCTGGTTTGCCAGAGGTGGCCCACACATGGGCCAGCATGAGGCGAGTGAGTCCCGTTTCTAGCAAAGCTTCTCTTCAACAGACATGGGAAACTCAGAAATTCCAGCTTCCCTGTTCAAATGGAATGCAGCTTAAGCTATCAAGTTATTTCTTAATCAAAAATATTCTGTACAGAAGAAATAAGTAAAGCCGTAAACTCACCTCGACTTTGTTCTTTTCCAGTTCTGTTCGCGCTCTTTACAACAGGAAATAGCTAGAGCCAATGAGAGCGTAGGAAACGGAGTCACATGTTGAGGGATGGCCAATGAGAGTGAAGAGCAAAGGATAAGATTGGTTGGTTGGTTGTCAGGGAGGCATCAGTGGACAGTCAGAATAGTGAGATATTTAATTTCATTCATTCATTCATTTTCTACCGCTTAGTCCCCGAACGGGGTCACGGGTGGGGCCGGAGCCAGATTTAATTTCTCAACACACAAATACGAAGTTGTCCTGTAACTTAATAGGTAAGTTTAGGGCCATCTGTTTTAATTATTACTCATGCAATTCTGAGAAATAAAGGTTTTCTGTCAGTGATGGCGCACGTGATGTGGATGTGTTTATGAGTTTGAATCCACTTAATTGCTATAGTAGGGTGTTGTGTGACACACCAGTAAAGGTAGAAAAACATTTAAAGGTAAGACCTAACAATTCTTTGTGGTTCACACTTAAGAGAACACATGTGCCTGTTCATATGAGACAGATCTGGGCAACATAAGCTCAACCACAATCAGGCCACATGTGGCATGGACAGATCTGGGCCACATGTGGCATGCCATCATATAAACAGTGCCATCATTTAAACAGTGCCATCATTGCCAGACCTGGGCCACATCCGGTTGACATACCACCTGCCATGCCAGCAGTGTCAGCTTAACTCAAATCTGGCCCAGATCTGTCTGCTATGTGGAAATACAGTATAAGATTATTTAGAACCTTGTTAAAATGTCATTCAAATAGTTTTGATCATTCTCCCACTGACGCCCTATCCCTCAATTACTGTAGCCTAAGCCTAATATAATTCTCAATCTGTCTAAAACTAAGTGCAATAAATAAGAACCCTAAATAACTGTAGGCTTTGCACATTTAATGTGTTTAAACGTGGATTTCCACATTTAAATCCTCTGGTTTTGACTGAACTTCACAGGAAGTAGCCTCGCTCTGTGGCATCACAGGTGATTTCAATCAGTACACGCTGGGTTTATTTTGGCATCACTCCTATTCTTTAGCATTAGAGGAAGAGATTTCGCAGTTTTCCCACATTACACCACTATTCGCTCACATTTAAAATTGTAGAGCTTTGTTGTTCACAATCACGGGCGTAAAATGAACCTCTGCGTCACCGGCATCGCAAAGTTCAGCTGCAGCATTAGTAAGTGAGGAGTAAACAGGCAAATCGATCAACAGCAGCGCGTTTAACCAACAGCACAACACGACCTTTGGCTGGGTGAGTAATAGGTCTCCAGCTCCTTCCCATTCTCCCCCGTCTTGTCCTTATATGTAGGCCTAGTGTACGTTTAGACGCGGGTTTGTGTAGTGGGTGGGGGACTTCAGAGAGATAAGGACATGTCCGCCCTTCCAAAATAAAACAGAAAGACTGTGATCTAGGTGGAGTTAGTGTAGATCAGAGAGGGAGAGGAGAGGGCTCGGGCATGTGCAGGGACGTCTGGCTGTGAGAACAGACAGAGGCACAACAGAAGATAGACGCGCACGTTGCAGAGGTTCACACAGCACTGAGAGGAAGGAAGTGAGATTATCAGATTGGGAAGTGACTGAGTAAATAATTTGTTGCTTTGTTCGGGGTGTTCACAGACATGAACGGTAATAGCAGCACACAGCGTTATGTGTCCACCTTCTGGATGTACATAAAGCCGCACCGCGCACCGGTGAACGGGCCAGGAAGCCCTGACAGCAGGACTGATACAGGTGAGGGCTGCACGAGAGAGAGGCTGGGATTAATAATAACTGAAGTGCTTCATGGGTAATATTTACCTTATTGACGTCAGCTTTTGAACAGATGAGTCTGGTAATGATGTAAATAAATCTATCAGATGGTGCAAATAAACTTGCCTTTTGTAAAAAGAGCTTATTTGCCAGAGACACCGAGGCGGTCTGGCTCTGTTTGTTGCTTTATAGTTAATATCTGGTGTTTGAATGAAAAGCCTGTGGTGCTTTTATTATGAAACCTGAATCAATCAGAGTGAAGGGCAGTTCCTGAGAAAACCCAGCTGCATTGTGGCTAGGATCCAAGGTTCAAGCTATGATTGCACTTCAGTCCTGGAAGACTGTAAAAAAAAATGAAACAAAACAAAAAAAAACCACAGTCCAGTCAGCATGAACTGTCTATACTTTTTTTTGTTGTTGTTCAGACAGATAATTTATGTCAGTGCTGTGGTTTTCTGGGCTAAAGTCATATGACATGAGAGAAAAAGAGCATAAAAAAAAACATGAAGTGGTGTGAACTGTTGCAGTAGCTGAGCGGATGGAACATTGCACTTAGTTGCAGCACTTCTAGCAGGTGTTACTTCTTATCTAAGACAAGGCAACAGAGTAACAGTATGATAATAAAGTAGTTTAGTGTGTGAATTATTGTAAAACCTTTGAATAAAACTTGTATTATATAGCCTACCAAAGACAGAAAAAAGAGCAATGTAAAAGGCTAAATGAGAACTCTATATTGGCTTTTGGAATAGATGCAGTTAAGTGAAGAATCTATAAAATCAAGGAAATGTCACATTCACTACAAACCCTTCTGCTTGTGTTTCTCGTTATCTGACTCCTTGCCTCCTTACACCCCACTCCTCCTTATGCAGGGTGTCCTAACCACTCCTCTCATAAACCTCTGGATCCACCGAGCTTCATAGAGCCCCTGAGTGACTGCTGCGTGGATGAAGGAAGTGACTTCACACTACGAGGGGTTCTCACTGGAAGTCAGCCTATCAAAGTGTCATGGTTGCACAATGGTGAGCAGAGACGGTACTGCTGCATCTTAGTGTTAAATGTTGACCCAAAGGCTCAGATACCATAATATCACTGAGTTATGAATGACAGTTTATTTAGTTTTTCTTCAAACTGGTCAGTTTGAACAATGTCCGGCCATACAACAAGCATGATTCACAGCAGGGTTTGAGAAGTTGACATCATGTTTTCACCTGACTGTTATTGTCATATTACATTAGTGGAAGAGAGTGTTTTCTAGTTGGTTTGCTCCTATGGGCAGGTTCAGTGGCTCATTTTGGGAAGTCTTCCTTCAATGGCAGTGAGGTGAGTTTTGTTCTGAGAGAGTGCCTGCCGGAAGATGCCGGCGCCTACACCTGCTTGGCAGAAAACAGTGCAGGGAAGACATCCTGCTGTGCTGCTGTGTTCATCAGAGGTGAGGGAGACACTAGGACACACTAGTCATTATATAGTGTGGTCTAATGGTCAATAGTTGCAGTTCATGCATGCATCTTTTAACTTCTCACAAAATAAATTAGAAAATCTCTCTACAATCTAATTTGCTGCTAATTATACAACTTACATATTGTAACACTGGGTTCCTTAGTTGATAAAATATTTTATTCTGTTAGTGATAATAACTAGGAGCTATCCAGAATTTCATTCTGATGTGGTTTTCTTTCCTTTGTCTCTTACTGGCAACCGATGCAGACTTTGAAACCATCTATGGAGTCTCAAAGATCCCCACTTCTGCATCTCAGATCATTAAGGAGAATGGAACACTACCACAGACTCTCAAAGAAGAACAACAGCAGCAGCTCAAAGGAACTGTTTGTACCTCCACTACAGGCTCTGATAAACAGAACCCGGTCTCTTCTCCAAGAGGTAAATGGATAATAATTCTTTTCACATTTAGGCACTAAGGAAATGGTCATTTATGGTCATTTTCTGAGTCAATGTGTTGCTTATACCAACACATACAGTGCAGTTTCCTTCCTCATTTACATGTCTGATGCACCAGGATATCTCTATCTTTTTAACATTGTTATAGCCTCTTCCGGATATCCATGTTGTATTTATAAAGGAAAAGGAAAAGCATCATTTCCAGTTCTTGTGTGATATAGGCTGTCAGGCAACATGAATACCAAACAGGAATTATGCAATGATTCTCACAGCAAAAAAACTTTTGGATACACCCTCTAAAAGTTACAAGTCCCAAGTGAATGCCTTGTAGGGAAGTGGACAGTGAACAGTACAGTAAAATTTGGAGAGAGCCATAAACGGGACAGAGCCACACCCCAGAACGTCACTACTAATACCTAGCTGCCCTTCATCTGTCTCTGCAGAAGTCATCCCAAAGAAGAGAGCCAACTCAGGCACAGGTGAGGGAAAACACACTGTTCCATTTTCTCCCCTGTCACTCACTAACTCTGCCAAATAAGAGCAATGCACCTGCCTTTCCATTATTCAGCCTTCTGTTTCTCTTTGTTTACCGCTACATTGTCTGATTTGGCTGCTGCTGTTTCTGTTGTTCATGTTAATGTAGCATATCGCTTAGTCTGGTTTGTGTGTGCTGGCTGTTGTGGTCTGCCCTGAAGCTGCACCTTTATTTTTACCCTTTGTGCTTGGTTGGGATTTAAGTTATTGTGCGCCCATATACTGGGGAACTTTGCTACAGGGTGTAGGCTGCACCAATAAAAGCATGAAAAGCTCACATAATACGGTTTGGATGTCTGTTGTGAGTGCATGGGATCTGGCATAATCTTACAGCAGAGACAATTTTTAAATGGTTTAAATTAGATAAAAGTGATGGCTAGATAGAGGGATGCAATAATTGACCGTGTAAGGAAGGTGCTGAAGTTTTATCAGATTGTCTTCAGTCAAAACCACCACCTTGATTCCTTAATATTTAAATATTGACAGTGTGGGATGTGTAGCTTCAGCTCATATATGGAATTTTCTAATCTAATGCAAAACATTATGACTTTGAATATGTGATCTGAGTTTGCTTGTTTTAAGGACATTTAAATGTAAATAGTTGTGTGTGTGTGTGTGTGTGTGTGTGTGTGTGTGTGTGTGTGAAACATGTCTTCAAAAACAGGTGAACTAGATTAACATGATTTAACACTTAATTACACAAGGACTGCTTGTGCTTGTGTGGTGTGGTGCCTCTGTTTGGCATTTTGTTTCCACTTGAAACACTTGCTGTGCTATATACTAGAATAATATGGGTCTGAGGTTAAGTACTAACACCCCGTCTTATTAGTCAGCAAAGAAAAAAAAACTTGATCTCACACGCCACACTGTTTCCTTGATAAATTCAACCAGCCACTACAATGAGCAGACATGCTTTGAGTCAAAATGCTCTTTGTTTTGTTATTTCAGGTCCAACATTACATTTTGAAAATTCTCCACAGCACCTTGAGGTGAAGGTGGGACAGCCTGCCCGTCTGAAGTGTTTTTTCACCGGCAGCCCTCCCGTAGTGTCCTGCTGGATCCGAAATAAAGAGCAGGTGTTGTTATATAAAGGCTGACTTCCAAATGTCTACTGTCTGTCATCCCACTTATATATCTGTCTATTTTACATATCTGCAGATAGTGGATGGTCCCGAGCTGTGGACTGAACATTCTGATCAGAGCAGTACACTAGTTATATTGGAGACGAAACCACAGGACGCAGGTTGCTACACCATTGTAGTGAAGGACCGCAAGAGTTCAGCACAGCACACGCTCACCCTTTCTGTCATAGGTGGGATCACACACACTCATGATCAAGATAATATGAAGCAGTTTCTTGAGCACTTTTATTCATTGTCCTCCCACCAGAGACACCACAGCCGCCTGCCTCGTGTCCTGTGATCTCCCGTGTCTCTGCTTCCGGCCTTGTGCTGTCCTGGTCAGGCCCCTGTTATGACGGTGGCAGTGCCATCCTGGGTTATGTGGTTGAGGTAAAGAGCCAAGGACAAGCTGAACCTGGGGATTGGAATGAGCTCACTGCCCAGTGTAAGAGTACCTCATACAAAGTGTGCTCTGGGCTACAGCCACAAGGGGAATACTGTTTCAGAGTGAGGGCTTACAACGCAGTAGGAGTAAGCGAGCCAGGACCTGTGTCGCCAGTAGTCAGTATGGAGCAGAAAGGTGAGTTAATATGTTATCACATTTGGAAATTATGTAAATATACTGAGGCTTATTACAGTTGTCTGTGTGCATTGATCCAGAGAATCTGCAAGGAGAGGAGGCCCATCCAGTATATGTCACAATTGACTCTTCCCACAAAGTCACAGATCATTACAATTTGCAAGAGAAACTGGGCATGTGAGTATCTGTCAGGTCAAACACCAGACACCTTGTTCAAGGTGTGGCAAAAAGCATGTCTTCAGAAAGCATGTAATTTCAAGGGTTCTCTGGAAAAGTCCTGCAAAGTGAGAAGGAGGAAGGAGAACTAGACATGCATGTAGAGACGTGTTTACCTACACTGACAGAGGTGTGAGGAAAATTACAGGCATACTAGAATCACAGATTTCCTTTTCAGGGTTTAATATTCTGTAACTTGAGATATATTCATTGCAATGATCTAATGATTTATGATAACACACCATATGCATTTCTTTCTTAAGTTCCAATGATAAAAATAAACTGATCTCTTCATTAGGGGAAAGTTTGGCCTGGTGTTCAAGCTAATTCACAAAGAGACAGGACGTGTGTGTGCTGGAAAGTTCTACAAAGGCCGACGTATCAAAGAGAGGGAGGCTGCTCGTAAAGAGATAGAGCTGATGAACTACCTCCACCACCCCAAACTGGTTCACTGTCTGGCTGCATATGACCACAAGCCTGAGATAGTCATGGTTATGGAGTTGTCAGTATCATCAAGAAATCCTTAACTGGTTCAATCCTTATAGCAAGTGCAAATTCTGGGGGTATACAAAGAAGTATAATAACGTGTAATAATGTTTGCTGTCCTTGTGCCTTGTCTGTCTGCAGTATTGCAGGTGGGGAACTATTTGAACGTATTGTGGATGACAGTTTTGAGCACACAGAGCTTGCCAGTACACGCTACATGCAGCAGATCCTGGAGGGGGTTGCATACATGCATCAGCAAAACATTGTCCATTTGGACCTCAAACCTGAAAACATTGTGTGTGTTGACACCACAGGCACCTCCATAAAGATTATTGACTTTGGATTAGCCAGCAGGCTTGGTATGTGAAATGAAACTCTTTTTCAATATTTACTTGTCGTTCTGCTATATGTTTCAATGCCAAATAATGTGATTTATGTTTACCAGATGGAAAAACACCTCTGAAGGTGATGCATGGGACTCCGGAGTTTGTGGCACCTGAAGTGATCAACTATGACCCTGTGAGTTTGGCCAGTGACATGTGGAGCATTGGGGTCATCTGCTATATATTGTGAGTCATACTATCACTCCTAAAGCCCTTTCTACACTAAATGAATAGCTTGACATTTTGGTAAACACACCTGTTAGATTTCCTGTCCAGAGTTGAGCAAGAAAGCTAATACATAATCAATATTACCTTCCCACTGCTGTCATCACTGTTTTTGGCCATGGCAGGATCCCATTTTCTACTACTACTAAAAGTTAACAAGTAGCTGGTGAAGAAAGTAGAGCAATGAGCTGCTGGTGAGCAGGATATTTCTCTCAGGAGTTGGTAGAAACAAACGGAGCTAAAACAGAATGAATATTGGCCTTGTATTCATCAAGAACCCTGAAACAAAACTGAATGCTAATGGTCCCCAGTAATTGCTGGATGTGTAAAAGCAAGTGCCAACAGGTTTGCATATCAGCTTAAAATGTGTCTGGTTATGTTCACAATATTTTAACAGTTATTGCAGGTTTCAAATTAATTTGTTACTTGTGTTAATTAGTGATGTTCAGAGGAGGTGGATTTTTGGACTGGGCCATGTTAGCTGTTTTCCCCATTCCAATTCTTTGTGCTAAGCTAGCAGCTACTGGTGGTAGTTTAATAATTACCATAGAGACGTGAGTCATATCAACCATCTCTGCTGAAGAATTCAAGTAAACCTGATTCCTAAAGTGCAAAACCTTTCCTTTAAATCACCTTTGTATCATGTGCCTCCAGTGAATTCTTTGCATTGTTACCACCAGGATGTTGGTAGAGGATAATCCAATTGTGGGCTGCACATGCCCAGAGGTTCTTCATACCCTCCAGTATAAAACTGATGAACAAAACATTGTGAACAGGTTTATTGTGGTTTACTGTGATACAGTGCCTATAAAAAGTATTCACCCCCTTGATTGATTTATAAAATCAATCATGGTCAATATAATTTGGCTTTTTTGGCAAAAAAAACCCTCTTTGTCAAAGTGAAAACAGGCTTCTACAAAATAATGGGAAATAAGTGATTGCATAAATATTCATCCCCTTTAAAATGACTGACCTAATTCAACAGAGGTACAGCCAGTTGGTGCTAGTATTCTCACAATTAGTGAAATCGGGATCACCTGAGTGCCGTGAGTTTGTCGCATTGTAGTATAAAGACACCTGTGTCTGGAAGGTCCCATCACTCACTGGTTGGTCAGTGTTCCTGGCTACCGTTATACCATGAAGACAAAAGAGCACTCCAAGCAGCTCAGAGAAAAGGTTATTGAGAAGTATAAGTCAGGGGATGGATACAAAAACATGTCCAAGACACCGAACATCCCCCGGAGTTCAGTTAAATCCATCATCAAGAAATGGAAGGAATATGGCACATGTCTAAGTCTGCCTAGATCAAGCCGTCCTCACAAACTGAGTGACTGTACAAGAAGGAGACTAGTGAGAGAGGCCACCAAGTCTATGACTACTCTGAAGGAGTTACAAGCTGTGATGGGAGAGACACTGCATACAACTGTTGCCCGGGTTCTTCACTAGTCAAAGCTTTATGGGAGAGTGGCAAAGAGAAAGCCACTGTTGAAGAAAACTCATATTAAGTTCACCAAAAGACATGTGGGAGGCTCCATGGTCAAGTGGAAGAAAGTTCTTTGGTCTGATGAGACCAAAATTTGGTGCTTTTTGGCCATCAGACAAGGCGCTATGTTTGGCAGACACCAAACACCGTACATCACCACAAACACACCATCCCCATTGTGAAGCACGGTGGTGGCAGCATCATGCTGTGGGGATGCTTCTCAGCAGCCGGCCCTGGAAGGCTCAGAAAGGTAGAGGGTAAAATGAATGCAGCAAAATATAAAAAAAAAATCCTGGAGGATAATCTTATTCAATCTGCAAGAACTACTGCTTGGGAGAAGATTCATTTTCCAGCAAGACAATGACCCGAAGGATACAGCTAAAGCTGCACAGAAATGGTTTAAAGACAACAAGGTGAGTGTTCTGGAGTGGCCGAGTCAAAGCCCAGACCTCAATCCAATAGAGAATTTATGGCTGGACTTGAAAAGGGATGTTCACACCCTATCCCCGCACAACCTGGCAGAGCTTGAGCAGTTTTGCAAAGAAGAATGGAGTAAAATTACAGTGTCCAGATGTGCAAGCCTAATTGAGACCTTCTTGCCTGTAATTTCCACAGACACAAAAAGAATTTCAGAAAGGACAGTGAATTGAATTGAGTCAGTTTGGTCCATGTACATCAAACGACTATAATCCACTTCACTTCTCAGTCAAAAGACCTTTAGTCAATTGCAACTCCAGAAAACACTAGAACAAGACTGGGCTATTCTGGTAACATTAGTAATGTTGTATAGACATTTTGACCTTTAGTGCCATCTAGTGGATGTAAGATGGTACAGTATCATTTTTTTCCCTCTGGTTTTCAGACTGAGTGGTGAGTCTCCGTTCCAAGGGAACAGTGATACAGAGACCCTGGCCTTGGTCACAGCTGCCCAGTGGGAATTTGATGAGGAGAGCTTTGATGAGATAACAGAAGAGGCCAAAAATTTCATTAGCTCCCTGCTCATCAAGGACACCAGGTGGTTTCATAAACATGTAGCTAATGCACAGCCACCTGCCATCTTGAACAAACATAACCCCGTGTGTGTGCTTCTCAGACAGCGGATGTCTTGTGCAGAGGCCCTTGCCCACCCCTGGATGGCAGCATTTACCTTTGGAGATCTTGCTACTAATAAGTGCCTGTCCAAGGAGAAGATGAAGAGGTTTCTAGCCAGGCAGAAGTGGAAGGTAACACACCACCGC